TATATATAACCATATATATATAAATATATATATATGCATATGCTGTTGTTGTTAAGTGTCATCAAGTCGCGGTATATACATATATAGATATATACACATATACAGAGAGAGAAAGAGAGAGAGGGAGAGAGCCACCTACTAGGTACAGCTTAGCAATAATTGCTAATATTTTTATAAAAGTACTTGATTTATGGCAAGTTAGTACATGGCGTAAGCATCTCCCCCCTTTTTACCAGAGTACAGTGAGATAGTCTCTGGTGACAGACTTGTGATAAAATATAAATTAATCATATCACCAAATATGCTAGTTAATCTGATAACTTTCAAAGCAAAACTTTCTAAAAGGAAGCAGTATAATAAATTCTAATCAGCCAAATATACTTACTTTGTAACACTAGTAATACCAAATTAACAGGGTATTTGGTAGATACTAGCTTATGTTTGTCTTTACAACAGTACTATGTGATATTAGTAGAGTTGTTACCCTCATATTATAAAGATCCCATTTCCTTGCTCTGAACACAAAGTTCAGGAGTAAATCTGGTCCTAGAGCTACAATGTGAAAATCACACAAAGGGTGAAATATTCTATGTTCATCAGGATGAAATAACTCTACAGGAGAGTTATCATGAACATATATATTAGAGAGAGGCAACTCACATTTTAAAATTTTGATCAATGTAGTTACTTGAATCACCAGAAAGAAGATCAGGATGATAATTTTAGGAATATGAAACTTCTTTGCATTTATTTCAGCAGGTTCTGGAGACACTATAGTAAGGATAAAAGAGTGAATAGAATTTATTTTAAAAGAAACAAGCAAATAAACAAAAGAAATGTGCCTTAACTGCTAAAAAGTTAGTTTGGTAATCTTTAGCAAGCAAGATCAATATCCAAAAATTTATCCTATTACTATACAATAGCAATGGTCAATTGAAATTAAAAATAGTATCATCCATCATATTACATACTATTTGAGTTGTGGTGTTAGAGAAGAGTACTGAATATCCAATGGGTTGCCAAAAGTATATATATGTCTTGGAGAAGGTGAGGCCAGAAGGGAGGCAAGAATGCCAAAGTTTCATCTCACTTAACTTTGGACCTATTGTTAGGAAAGGATATTCCTTAGAAAGGGACATCATGCTTGGAAAGGTAGATTTATCACAACAACAACAACAAAACATAATAAGAACCTACAACCAGGAGAAGATAAAGTAGATGAATGGGATCTTCTAAGAATCAAATCCCTATGCACATCCAAACACTTCTTCAACAGGGTAAAAAGTGAAGCCACTGGGAAAAAGTATTCGGTAATAACATAGCAGATAAGGGACTTATATCCAGAATTTATAAAATACTTGAGTACCACAACAAGATAAAGGTAAATAATCCAATAGAAAAATGGGCACAGGATATGAACAGGCACTTCACCGAAGACGACATTCAGATGGCTAACAAGCACATGAAGAAATGTTCAAAGTTCCTAGCTCTAAGAGAGATGCAAATTAAAACAACTATGAGATATCATCTCACCCCAGTCAAAATAGCAAAATTTACCAGAACAGCAAGCAACAAATGCTGGCAAGGTTGTGGAGAAACTGGAACCCTGATTCACTGTTGGTGGGAGTGTAAAATGGTGCAACCCCTGTTGAAGGCAGTATGGTGCTTTCTCTAAAAGTGGTAAATAGAGCTACCATTTGACCCAGCAATTTCACTACTGGTAATATAACCCAAAGAGACCATAGCTGACATACAAGCAGATATATGCACACCCATGTTTATTTCAGCTTTGTTCACAATAGCAAGGAGTTGGAAACAACCTAAGTGTCCATCAACAAATGAATGGATAGAGAAGCTGTGGTATATTCACACAATGGAATACTATGCTGCGTTGAAAAACAAGGAATTCATGCAATATTATTCAAAATGGTTGACTCTGGAGAACATTATGCTGAGTGAGGTATCCCAGTCACAAAAGGACAAATGTTGCATGGTGCCACTGTGTAAAAGAGGACTGATCTTGGGGTTGGGGAGAGACTGAGAAAGATAGGTTCAATACTGTATACTGCACTGAAACAGATGAGGGAGAAAACTGTTTAAAAGGGATATGTGATAAGTATTTCTGTCATGACAGGAGTCTACAGTGATGGCTACATGGTGGAGTAGACTTGGGGGAGGGTTTGTCAAACAATGAAAGATTTTTTCTTTTACTTTTCCAATAGGGTAGTGTTCTTGGGGGAAGGTTTGGAAGGGGGGAAATGTGGAACAATGAATGAATGGAAATCCAAAGCCTCTGTAAATTTTTACTGAAATTAATAATAGATTTAAATAAAAAAAAATTAAGTTAGAGTAAGGAAGACAATGGATTTATAACTGCTCAGGCCAATAACACTATATCATGGCATGGAGGAAGAATAGTGGAACTGTATCCACATTTACAATATTCTTACCAAAACCATTTATGGAAAATAGGAACTGCATTGGAACATGTATCTTTGGGTTGGAAATGATCATATTGTTAATATTTCTAGCCTTAAACTTAAGAGATTATATTGTTCAACATTATTTGTTATATATATTTGTTTAAATTTTTCCCTCTTTTAACAACTGGGATCTAGAGGGAAGAGAAAAGACCAGAGAATTGCCAAAATTATTAGGGCAGCTATTGCTGCCTGTGTCAGGAAACGGAAGTCTTACTCATAAACAGTGCCATCCAAAGGTAATAAAGGAGGTCAGAATTGCTTCCACTGTGGAAAGCTGGGCCACTTCAGTAGACAGTGACACAGAGGATAGCCACAGATAGGCAAGGGAGTAGAGAGGAAGCTCCCACTCACTTGCTTTAAGT